TACTATTTTTTGTAGGAACCTGGAAAGCATTGCACCCCCCATCAGCATATCATGGGTGCAATGCAGGGCTCCTGTAGGCCCTTAGCGTATCTGTCTGCTCGCACCTCGTATGGGCAGGCAGTTATGCAATGAAAGGAATAATCAAAAAAACTACCAAAATACCCAACAGCTCCCTGGTAGTTCATTGACAACTACAAACCGGAAGCCGCAAAGGTTGTTGGTACTTGTAGTTCATTTATTCACAGAACAGTCTCATCTCTCCTGGGTTTTTCTCCCTCCTCATTGGCTGAGACAGCAGCAGTAGCCATTGGCTCCCACTACTGTCAATCACAGTCAGTGAGCCAATGAGAAGAGGGGGGGGGGCTGCGAATGGACACCCAGAGCAGTGGCTTGGGAGCGAGTCTGTTCTGGTGCCCCCATAGCAAGCTGCTTGCTATGAGGGCACTAGACAGGAGGGAGAGGCCAGGAGTGCCAGTAGATGACCTGAGAAGAGAATGATCGGGGCAACTCTGTGCAAAACAACTGCACAGAGCAGGTAAGTATGACATGTTTGTTATTTTTAAACTAAAAAAAATCTGCCCTTATTATCACTTTAACTTAAAGTAACTTTTTTGTTTGTTCTATGGATAGGGGGGGGGAGTTAATGCTTGGATAACATGAGAACATACAAATTTTATTTGCACAGTAACCCTAGTGGGCTTTAATTCAGGACTGCATGGTAGGAGTGCTAGATGCTTATCCACTAGATCAGTATTTGAGATAAAATATCAGCTAAATTAAATTGTAAAGTAGAATCTTCAGTCAATAAAAGTCCTAATAAGTGTCTGTCTACCTGCCCTAATTAAACATAAAAGTGAAAAGGTGAGTGTAAACCAATTAACATGCATGCTAGCGAATGGCTACTAATGATTCACACACAGTTAATGTCTGTAAAGCAAACTAATTAGATTCAATTCTGACACTGGGCACATCTAATCAGTAGGCAGATAGTAAAGTCACATTATTTCTCTAATAAAAGTGTTCACTTTGAATGATTTTGCATAGCCATGCTAGTTATTTACAGGGACTTGGTGAACATTGCTTTCTTTTACTGTGATCAATAATTTTGATCCTAAAATGTATTTCAGGGTAATAAAGGAATGCATTGTGTATAGCATGTTACACTAGGAAAATGTTGCTGTTTTATTGCTTTCTTGTATATATAAAAATGAAATACAATTCTCAAAGCACTGGAAGTACAAAAAAGAAAACATGGGAAAAATGTCTCAAATAAAAAATATTCCTTTTGAAGCTAGAATAATATATACACTTTTATTTAAAAATGTATCTCTGCCAAAAGGCAGTGTTACGTATCTGTATACTTTCATGTGCACATGTTGCATACACATGGCATTGGGTCAGTACACTTTTTTGTGGTCTGACCTAAATTGCGCAAAGTTACGTTAAGTTGGTTGATTGTAAGCCAGTAACATTACGCATCAGTTCTATACAAAATATTCATGAGACATTGGCTTGTAGTAATATGATGATTAATTTGGCAACATGGCAAAATGTTTCTTGCAGTCTAGTGGAAAGTATGTTGCATTTGCATGGTTGTTTTCTGGAAAGTGTATTGCCAAAGTTAAAAACATGTTTACACGTGTAACTTGCTGGTTGTCACTCCCTGATGTCTGATTTGTTAACCTATTCAGGGATCCTTGGCCTTATGCCTCATTCTTGTCAAATACCTATCACTAACTTTATGGGACCAACACCTATATAAGGTACGTGGAATCACAGGTTAAGGTTTTGCACATTTTACAGCCACTGAAGCAAAGCTCTGTGAGACATGAAGTAGACCTATAAGTTCTAAAAACCTGGCAAACTAGCTACATGCTCAGAGGTGCCTGCACATACCTTTATAAATCTTCACAAGCTCTGTGAAAGCTCTCAAAGTGCTTCAATGTACAAATTTTGATACTTCCAAAGCACTGAAGCTAAGAGTTGGTCCCATCTTGTCTATTGTCCTGTTGTCTCATGAGATTGCATATTAATAGGGAAGGTTCTGGATCGCATATAGCTTATCAAGCTTTATCATCTGCCAAATGTGCTTTATCATCTGTGCTTTAATTTTATATTTGAGAATATCTAGTAAAGTATGGGCAACATTCCTTGCTCTCAACATACACTATATTGCTAAAAGTGTTCCAATCACCTCCATGGCCACAGGTGTATAAAATCAAGCACCTAGGCATGCAGACTGCTTCTAAAAACATTTGTGAAAGAATGGGTCACTCTCAGGAGCTCAGTGGTGGTACCGGGATAGGTTGCCAGCTGTGCAATAAGTCCATCTGTGAAATTCCCTTGCTACTAAATATTCCACAGTCAACTGTTAGTGGTATTATAACAAAACAGAAGCACTTGGGAACAACAGCAACTCAATGACAGAGTGGGATCAGCACATGATGAAGCGCACAGTGTGCAGAAGTCGCCAACTGTCTGCAGAGTCAATAGCTAAAGACCTCCAAAGTTCGTGTGGCCTTCAGATTAGCACAACAACAGTGCAAAGAGAGCTTCATGGAATGGTTTTCCATGGCTGAGCAGCTGCATCCAAGCCTTACATCACCAAGTGCAATGCAAAGCATCGGATGCAGTGTTATCACACACTGGATTTTAGAGCAGTAGAGACTTGTTCTGTGGAGTGACCGATCATGCTTCTCTGTCTGGCAACACGATGGACGTATCTGGGTTTGGTGGTTGCCAGGAGAACAGTAGTTGCCTGACTGCATTGTGCCAAGTGTAAAGTTTGGTGGAGGGAGGGTTATGGTTTGGGGTTGTTTTTAGGGGTTGGGCTTGGCCCCTTAGTTCCAGTGAAAGGAACTCTTAAGGCGTCAGCATACCAAGACATTTTGGACAATTTCATGCTCCCTGCTTTGTGGGAACAGTTTGGGATTGGCCACTTCCTGTTCCAACATGACTGCGCACCAGTGCACAAAGCAAGGTCCATAAAGACATAGATGAGCGAGTTTGGGGTGGAGGAACTTGACTGATATGCACAGAGTCCTGGCCTCAACCCGATAGAACACCTTTGAGATGAATTAGAGAAGAGACTGAGAACCAGGCCTTCTCGTCCAACATCATGGCCTGACCTCACAAATGCGCTTCTGGAAGAATGGTCAAACATTCCCATAGAAATATAGAGGATATAAAGGAGGAACCAACACGCCGTGACGTCACGCTGCTGGAGCCTCGTGAAGGTTCGGCGGCCATCTTTGATTTTGGTCAGCGCTGCATTAACTGCAAAACTGTCATGTTTATCTGCTTTTATTATATATATTTTCCATGGAATAAATTATTACTATTTTTATATACTACACTATGTGCATCTTTTTTGATCTCCTATATAGAGCTACTGATTAATAGAGCCTACTTTTGAGCCTGGCCCATTCAAGTACCCAGAGGATGGAGTCTCTGTAATACAGGCTGCAGACCCATCCATCCTTAAAGGGGACCTCTGGAAGAGCTGACCACCTACCCAACCCAAGAGTTTCTGCTGTGCTGTATAATACCCTGAAGGAAGTTTACCACACGCCTGGCATTTCCTGTTCCCTAAAGTGGACCGTGTTGGATATATTTATATGCACATATTCAATGCGCATCTGGTGAGTGCGCATTCTTACTATACCTTCTTCAAAGCACAAGCACTTAATAATCGCTGCGGTTGGGATCCTATATCACCATTATTAATATATGAACTTTTATGAACTTTTTTATCTGCTATATTAATCATTATTTATTTTATTCATCTTATTTATTTAGCCTTTCATTTGAATTTTAGCGCTGCACTCCTTGTATACATTCCCATAGATACACTCCTAAACCTTGCAGACAGCCTTCCCAGTAGAGTTGAAGCTGCTAGAGCTGCAAATGGTGGGCCAACTCAAAATTGAACCCTACGGACTAAGACTGGGATGCCAGTAAAGTTCATGTGTGTGTAAAGGCAGGTGTCCCAATACTTTTGGCAATATAGTGTATGAGTAAATGCAAAAAATGACTATGCAAGAACCAAGTGTTTGTGTAATGTGAAGAATGATGATTATGTGTAATAGGATTAGAAGAATACAGTACTTGTCCTTAAAGCAGTAGTAAACACCGCCTACTCACTTATACCTACAGATAAGCTTATAATAAAGATTACCTGTAGGTACAAGGAATATCTTCTAAATTAACACATTAGCATGCAGGGGGAAAGTGTTTATTATTTTTTTTTTTTACTCTTTACTACCGCTTTAAACAAGAAAACCCATTGTACAAAGTATGCTAGAAATGCATGTCTATCAGTGGGAGGCTATAATGTAAATAAAGTTTATTGCTGATGCAGTCATGGTTTAATGTATTATCAACCAAAAAAAAAAAATTGAACTTAAAGGGTAACTCAACATTTTGGTGAAAAAATATAGAAAATTAAAAAATAATACAGCATATACAATTGTTACAAAAGTCATATTGCAATTTAATGTTGTTCAAAGTTCCCTTTCCATTTCTATTTGCAGCGCTGTAATTTTCTTTAAAATGTAATGCAACATGGCAACCTGGAGGCATTCTGTACACTACTGGTGTACAGAACACCCCCCAGAAATGTAATTTCCTGCTTCGTGTGATTGGCTCACTGATTGTCCCAGAACTCTACTCTAATATACAAGTCAGATTTAAGAACATTTTAGAATATTTCATTTTAGGTGATATACTCCCTAAGGGTTTTTTATTTTTGAAGGGATGCCAACATGGTCAAACAAACAGCTATTCTTGCAACTCTTCCAATGTAACATGGATCACCCAGATTGGATTGTTATCTTCTCCACAAAAATGGAGTTACTCTTTAACTGCCCTCCCGCCCGCCATATAAGGAAATGGATGGGCGGCGGCTTTCTTGTTCTGGGAGGATGTCATATGACGTCCTCCCACTCTAACTGCGCATGCACGCCCCCTGGGGGTGCGCTGTCTCCCTGGGACACAGTAGATCACTGATCACAGAAAAGAGCCGATGACACAGGCTCTGTCAAGTGATCAGCTGTGTCCAATCACAGCTGATCGCATGTAAACAAGGAAATGGTGGTTATCGACAGTCCTCTCCTCACACTGACAGCATGTGAGGAGAACCGGTAAGCGGCATTCCTCAGAGGGGACATCTACACTGATCATCAGGGCCCTGATGATCAGTGTAGCCCCATCAGTGCCACCTGTCAGTGCCCATCAGTGCACATCAATGCCACATATCAGTGCCCATCAGAGCTGTCTTTCAGTGTTGTTATCAGTGCCAGTCAGTGCTGCCTATCTGTGTTGCCTAACAGTTCCAATCAGTGCCTCCTATCAGTGCCAGTCAGTGCCGCCTATCAGTGCCATATATGAGTGCTGCCTTTCAGTGCCCATCAGTGATTCCTGTCAATGCCCACTAGTGATGCCTGTCAATGGCCATCAGTGCCACCTATCAGTGCCTCCTCATCAGTGCCGCCTATCAGTGCCCATCACTGCAGCCTCATTAGCTCACATCAGTGAAGGAGAAAAATTAATTATTCACAAAATTTTATAACAGAAACTAAGAAAAAACATTTTTTTTTCACAATTTTCAGTCTTTTTCATTTTATTTATCAAAAAATACAAAAAAACCCTAGAGGTGATTAAATAGCACCAAAAGACAGCTCTATATGACTCAAAACAATGCAAAAAAAAATTTTTTTGGGTGCAGGTGTTGCATGACCGAGCAATTGTCATTCAAATTGCGACAGTGCTGAAAGCTGAAAATTGGCCTGGGCAGGAAGGGGGTAAAAGTGCCTGATAGGAATGTGGTTAAAGTGAGCCTGTTTCCAAACTATGCACTTAGGTATTCAGGTATTCTGAACAAGCAGCTAATGTGACATGCCTGACTAACATTTCCTTTTCTTATAACATCCAGCATTGGAAGTTCACAACTCAGCTAACAGGTAGAAGGTTGCAAAACATGTTGTATACTACAACTTTAACTGCAGGATCTTTACTACATTACATTCAGCTAGTGATCTCCTGGCCTTTTATAAACAGTAAGCATAAGACAGGAAGGCTACATGGTTTTTGGTGCACATTTTTTTTTTTTAGACCCACAAGCTTTTACATTTTAGGTGAATCAAATATGTTGTTCCTGTAAAAGCTAAATACTGTATACTGTATCTTAGTGACAAAATGGGGCAAAATAATTTATGGATGCAAAATTCAGAACCTCCATTTCTCCATATAATCACTGCATTCTGAACTTAGAGAGAAATACTGGGTTTAAGATGTGTAAACAGTGCATTGGCAATATGAAGATATTTTATTCATGCATTGTAGGTTGGGCTAAAAAAGAATACTATTTTACAAAATCAATTGTTATGGTTTGGTCAGGTATGTGCAGCTCAGCTTACAGTGCCAGGCCGGTTTCTGAGTGTTGGGATGACTAGCCTCTGCACATGCACAGAAGTGACATCATCCCCTGCTGGCCAATGAGGAGGTCCAAAGACTGCTACTCGGAAAAAGATGCCAGCATCGGCGAGGGACCATTGAACAGGTAAGTATTCACCCTTTAGTTCCACTTAAACTCCATTGTATAAGTGTGGACCATAGTTTCCCTTTAAAAAAAAACTACAAAACATGTTTATGTCACTTTTAAAAAGAATGAGAAAAAGGTAGAAAGGCGAACAAGTAATGATAAAACTCTGACAGAGCTACTAACCATTTTAAAGTTTGCTAACAATAAAGTGTCTATTATTAAGTGTCTCCAAGATTTCCAATTCCTTCTTGTTGTCACTAACACAGCAAGTTTCTTAACATAAAAACATACGGCAGAGAAAGGTCCAACGAATCTGCCCGTTTTTTTCGTTTCTTTTTTTTTGGGTGGGAGGGGGTTTGTTTTGTTTGTTTTATTTTTTTCCATTTTGTTCACTTTTTTGTCTGAGTATAGATCAATGCTTGTCTCACGCATGTTTGAAGCTATTTACTGTTGACTGGCTCACTACCTCTGCTGAAAGTTTATTCCAAGCATTAACTACTCTCAGTAAAATAGAACTTTCTGAGATTAGTTTTAAACTTTCCTCCAGTTAGTGTAAGGTCATGTTCCCCGTGTTCTTGATTTTGGTTTCATGTTGAAAATACTGCCCTCCTGAACCTTATTCACCCCCTTGATGTATTTAAAGGTTTTAGTCATATCTCCCCTTTCCCTTCTTTCCTCCAGACTGTAGATATTAAGTTTTATCCCCCAGACCTTTCACCATTTTTGTTACCCATCTCTGGACTCGTTCTGTCTTATCAATGTCTTTTTGTAAGTGAGGTCTCCAGATCTAGATACAGTATTCTAAAGGAGGTCTAACTAAAGATCTATATAGGGGAATCAGGACCTCCTTCCTTCCTCCTGCTGGTGACCCCTCTAATGATGCATCCTAGAATTCTATTTGCTTTCCCCACTTCCTGACAACACTGTTTACTCATTTTGCAATCATCTGGAATAAGTACCCCAAGTCCTTTTCCTCTGAAGTGCTGGCCCCCAATGTTGTACTCTCTCAATGGATTATTTTTCCCTAGGTTCATTATTTTACATTTAGAAACATCAAACTGCAATTTCCACTTTTTTTTTTACCAATCTTCGAGCAATGCCAAATCATGTTCCATGTTCCATCTGTTCCATCTTACCATCAGTAATGCTGAAAAGAGGATCTTTGAAGTTCCAGTCGCAGAATTTATCTTATAGTATGTTTTATTTTTTTAAGGAACAAAATCAGTTAAGTTAAGTTAGTGTTATTATTTATGTTTTATTGCTTTTCTTATCTACAGTGCTCACCATAAATGAGTACACCCCCATCAGATTTGTCAGAAAACCTTTCCTTTCCTTTCAGAATCAACATTTTCTATAGGACACTATACTACAAAATACTCCCACAAATGTGGGCCATTGATTGCAAACAGGATTTGTTAATTTGCACACACAAAAAAGTATTTTTCCTAACAAATTAATTCAAGACCATGTTGTGAAAATGAATACACCCCAATGAAAGTCTTAAGAGCAAAGCTACATTTTATACAACAAAATCCTAATTAACAAGAATTCATCCACAGGTGAGTCTAATTATTCATTGAACAGGTGTCCAGCAGCAGTTGATTATAAAAGGGCGTTCCTTAACAAAGAAAACCACTGCCCATTTCACGCTGTCAGCAATGGCACCACATGGAAGAGAAATGTCACAAGGCCTGAGAAAGAAAATAATTTCTTTACACAATAAAGGTGAATGCTACAAGAAGATCAGCAAAGCTTTACTTTCAAGCCAGAATACTGTAGCAAAAGTGATACAAAAATTTAAAGATGGAACTGTAACTATCTTACAGAGATGTCCAGGCTGTCCACGGAAGTTAACACCTGAACAGGAGCGTCTTCTGATGAGAAAGGTTGAAGAAAATCACCAGTAGCCTCTCCTAAAGCCCATGCTCAAAAAAGCCTGCCTAGAATTTGCCAGGGCCCATGCTGAAGAAGACGAAGTCTCATTGAACTGATGGCTTCAGAACTGTATGGCATCACAAAGGTAAATGGTACAAAGGTAAATGATACAAAGAAAAATGCATAGTACCTACACTGAAACATGGTGATGGCAGTGTCCTTCTGGGGGGCTGCACGAGTGCTGCTGGTGTCGGGGAGCAGCATTTCATTGATGGTATCATGAATTCACAGATGTACTGCTCTATAATAAAAGAGAAGATGCTACCGACACTTTGTGCACTTTTCCAACATGATCTGTCTCCTGATCTGAACCCTATTGAACACTTATGGGGAATTCTGAAGAGACAAGTTGAGCATCACTCTCCATCCATCTTCCAGGCTCTAAAAGAGGCCGTTCTTGAAGAATGGAAAAATATAGATATTTCAATACATCACCAACTTGTTCAATCCATGCCTAGAAGACTTGGTGCTGTCCTTACAAATCACAGAGGACATACAAAATACTAGATGTAGTAGTTTAGTTGTGGGGTGTATTCATTTTTGCATCAACTAATTAGAGTAAAACTGAAGATTTTGTAATCTACGTTATATTATTAACCTTACTTTCATGTAATGAGCTAAACAAATGTTCTATAAAACTCAGTTTTGTCAAAATTTGGGAAATTATATTTCTATAGGGTGATATACAAACGGAGTACATATTTCACTTAGTAAAGTGAACCTGCTTTCACCTTAAACCTCCAATAATGTAGACATAATTGAAAGACTGAAGTATATCTTTATTGAACTAAGAGAAAAATTAAAGGAATACAGAAAGAAATCCTTTGACTATGCTCAGACCCATAATAGACTTAACATAGTCTATATCTAGCTTATCCTTAAACTTTATCTCAGTGGTTATTTGATAGTTATTACAGACAATGTCTGAAATAGAGACACTCAGTAGAATAAACACATACAGGTTGATTTACTAAAACTGGAGAGCACAAAATCTGGTGAAGCTGTGCATGGTAGCCAATCAACTTCTAACTTTAGCTTGCTCAATTAAGCTTTGACAGAAAAAAAATGGAATCTGATTGGTTTCTATGCAGAGCTGCACCAGATTTTGCACTGTCCAGTTTTAGTAAATCAACCTCATAACTGATGCCGCAGGGTTAAGAGTATCGGCACAAACTAACCCAAACATAAAAGTCTTCATATGCACACTCTGCATACAGCACAGATAGTGGGTATACCCCTGATGGTGACTATAAAGTACCTGGCCCCTAATTGTCAGTATTATCTGGCTATCTTTGCGGTCCTTCTGTAAGGTGTTGTATGTGAAGCTGTCTCTTTAAGGAATGCTAAGAGTGGATGAATAATAGGCTGCTACATAAGGAGCAGTCTTTATTGGCATTGACTGTGGGTAGTGAGGGAAGTGTGGCTTTTCTTTTTGCCACTCCTGGTAGGAAACGGATCTGGTCCAGTACGCTTTACAGTCTGTTCTCTCAGAAGCTCAGTTCCCACAATTAGGTCCTCATGATCAGGTCCAAACAAGGCTCAGACTCTCAGCTCTGGTGTAGGCACCCACGACAATGGATCCCTGCTACCCTGGTTCCACACTGCTAAAGCCCTTTCAATGACTCTTGCTTGTCATGTGGTCTAGCATAGTGCACATACCCCTACAACAAGTCTGCATTCTCTGTCAGTCTGCAGCACAAGAGGCTCTCAGTGACTCAGTCCCTCTATCAACATGCATCAGCCCTCTGTGGCTGTCTCCCTGGTGGAGACATCCACAGTAACAGGTCCACACTATCTGGCTCCCCGTGCTGTTCTGCCCAGATCTCAGAAAATTTCCAGATAATAATAATCACAGACAAACAACTTTGCAGCCCAAGCTCTTATGATGAACTTCTCCACTCTTTCTCATACCTCCATGAGAGCATGCAGTACACTCAGGGACAAAAAAGAGAACATAATGGTGTAATACGTTTTTTTCATTTATCTCTTTAATAAAAAAGGTATAAGGAAACTCACAAACAAGGTGTCCAACAGACACCAGCTTCAATTGCAAAAAA